ATCCGTGCGGGGGTGGGAGAAGCGTAGCAAGGGTCCGAGTGAGCCTTCCAGGACCCTTGCGACACTCCCCCCACCTGGAAGCTGGCGATTTCACCCACGATGGCCCTGTGGGGGTGGGGGGAGCGTCACAAGGGTCCTGGAAGGCTCACCCGGACACTTGCGACACTCCCCCCCACGGGGCCAGCGGGGACGAAATTCCTGCCTTTGCTCCATAAGACGCACGGATTTTCCCACCCACATTTGGGGGGGAAGTGCGTCTTATGGAGCAAAAAATACGGTAATTTCAGAAAATCACTGTTGGATCACTGGCAGCAGGAGAACTGGTGGCAATTTTCCAATATTAAAGGCTCCCCCACTTTGACTTCCATGCAGTAGATGTCAACAGGGCTGCACAAAGACCCTGCAGCAACTGTTAACAGTTATTTTAGCAGTTTCTACTACACACAGAGCAGACACATTATTTGTTCTAAATAATTTCAATTAGATTTAGAATAGAAATGAAATCCTGCTGCTTAGTTAAGCATGTGTAAGGTAAATAACTAGGATTCTCAAGCACGCATCACGGCAGCATGCATGCATGACCCCAAGAATACCAATAGTGACTTAACTGCCACCTGGAAGTGACGGAATGTTATGTCATTTTTGTTCCACATGTCTAACAAAGCAACAGGATTTCAGCCATTATCTTGTAGGGAGAAGCTATTGCATTTATATTGTCAATTTCAAAAGAGAAATAAAGTTAATGTATCACGTTATGAACTACAGTGTTGCCTCACTAGACGATTGCCTTGTGGGACGAAAACCCCGCAAGACGATTGGTTTCTGCAATCACCTCCAGAAACTGGTGATTTTGCCGGCGCTGGATCCGTGCGGGGGTGGGAAGAGCGTCGCAAGGGTCCGAGTGAGCCTTCCAAGACCCTTGCGACACTCCCCCCACCAGGAAGCTGGCGATTTCACCCGTGCTGGCCCTGTGGGGGGTGGGGGGAGCTTCGCAAGGGTCCTGGAAGGCTCACCTGGATCCTTGCGACACTCCCCCCCAGCAGGGACGAAATTGCTGCCTTTGCTCCATAAGATGCACGGACTTTCCCACCCACATTTTTTTGGGGGGGAAGTGCATCTTATGGAGCAAAAAAATATGGTAATTTCAGAAAATCACTGTTGGATCACTGGCAGCAGGAGAACTGGTGGCAATTTTCCAATATTAAAGGCTCCCCCACTTTGACTTCCATGCAGTTGATGTCAACAGGGCTGCACAAAGACCAATGCATAGAGAACATTGCAAGACATTTTTTTCCACAAGACGACGATTTTCAAGGAACGAATTAAAATCGTCTTGCGAGGTGCCACTGTACTGTTTGACATTAAAATTCAGGATTGGGAACATGAGGCTTATTTCTCTCCCCCAAAATGCACAGAAGATTCATCATGTGTAAAATCTGAGTTTTGGAAATGATTTCTTGAAGTTCAAATGTTAGTTCTTCGGTGTACATTTACTTTTACATCTTCAGATTTCCAAAAGATCAAATCTACACTGATTTTGCTAAATTAGTTAACTCAATTTTGTACAAGGAAGAAACACTAATCCTGATGTTTGGACCATGATCTGGATTAAGGAAGTTTACTACATACATGATGTCGATTCCACCAGCTGCAGCACCTGAAAAAGCCTGCTCCTTGCTAGAGGAGGAATCAGTGGTACATTCGGGCTCAGATACAGAATCACTGCTGCTAGGCTCGCTGTCCGGGGAAATGTTTCTCTGAGAGACAGAATCTGCTGCTGTGGATGGAAAGTCTCCTTCGTTGAAGGCATCACTTATGAACATGCCTTCATGAGTTAAATAGGCCACATCTGTATCTAAGATAGTCTCCTTAGCAGAATTCTTCTGCATGGTAACATCTCCCAACAGCTTGCTCCTTTGGTTCTTGTCTAGAACTGAGAGAACCACGTTCCTTATGACAGTTAGTGTTGCCTAGAATAAAATGAAGCACTTGTTAAATAAATGCAAATTATGTTCTATTCCTTGGAAATGCACCTTCTAGCAAGAATATTTCTATTGCCAACCACTTTTCACACATTTGTACAGTTTTTGGCTGCTATACAGGAAACAGTATCAGTTCTTATTCGAAATTTCTCACCTTAATTCTCTTTAGAAAGATGATAAAATAAGAAAAAATTTCTTTCAGCAGATCGAACCACTGTTGAAAATTCATCATCCTCATTTGATCTGCAAGTCTGCAAAGAATACCATAAAAACAATCACTATAATTTCATTTAAATTTCTGCTTAGCTTTCTGTTCACATGGTGGCCTTGGATACATCTTTGTCAGCTTCTCAACCCAAGTTTGTCTTTAAGATGAAAATATTAAGGTCTAACTTGTACTGTTACTTTTGTGATGAGGAAAGAAACCAATTTTTAAATATATGTTTGTATGTGTGCTCACTGGAAGGATAGATCCTCAAGCTGAGGCTCCAATACTGTGGCCATCTCATGAGAAGAGAAGACTCCCTGGAAAAGACCCTGATGTTGGGAAAGTGTGAAGGCAAGAGGAGAAGGGGACGACAGAGGACGAGATGGCTGGACAGTGTCATCGAAGCTACGAACATGAATCTGACCAAACTCTGAGAGACAATGAAAGACAGGAGGGCCTGGCATGCTCTGCTCCATGGGGTCACGAAGAGTTGGACATGACTTAACGACTAAACAACAACATGTGTGCATGTGGATGCATTCATGAATAGAATTATGGTTAAAATTATTATTAAGTCAATGGCTTGAGGGTTCAGTATCCAGGGGCCTTTGCACAGGATTTCAAAAATCCCACTAATGGGTCAGTGGGATCCTCATGATACTGTATGCTTTGCTGTGATGCAAGTGAACTGCAGAAAGCCTCAACCTGGTGTATGCTCTTCCTTATGTGACATGGCTGAAAGGAAGAGACAGGGCCACTTCAATTCTGTTTTCCATTAACTTCAGTTTAGTGTTATTATCTAAATGCTAATTATAACCAAAATGTTCATCTGAATTAGGACCATAATTAAGCCAGCTTCATAACTGTACCTAAGGTTATTAGATTTTTTTCAAGAAAACTAGCTTACTTCATAAAAATACAAAGTGAATTTTTTTGATTTCTTTCTTAGGGGGCACGCTAAATGAGAAGAAGGGAAGGAAGGCTATGTATTCTTGACATGACAAACCATGACTTATTGTACCATGACATCTTAACCAGATGTGATGCCAGAACCATGAAGGGGCTGGCTAGTATGTGTTTACTATTTAAAATGTATTCCTTTCAAAATGAAATATACCAATTTGTTTTTAATGCTTTAAAAATGATAAATGGAGAGAGAAAATAATGAAGCCTTCTTATTCTTATATCTTCCTGACAAGAAAAAGCATGTTAAGATTAAACCAGTTGTTCAACAAACAATTTATTTTCTTATAGATGGTTATTAAATCCACCTCAGTCCAACCACCGTCACCCAGGAATCCTGAGAAACAAGTGACCTAAAAGATCACTTAACTTTTCAATAGTGTAACAACCAAAATAACAATTTTAATAACAATAATCTTCACATTTTCAAAAAGGAATTACGTCCTGGCCACAAACTGGAACCATTGCAGATTTTACTTTTTCTAATAATCACCTGGAATACAACAAAACTTGCCTTTGTTGATGTCATTCAATATCCTCTATATAAGGGTAAAACCGACCCATTCTTTGTCATGTTAGAGGTTGGGATACAGATGTGTAACTCAATATTCTGGTTTCTTCAAATTAATTCCTATGCATTCAGTGCATTGGTTCAGACATGACACTAATTTAGCTCTACAAAACTATGTCTAATCCTGTCACACCATCTTAATTAAGTTTAATAATTAATTATAGGGACTATGATTACTTCAAGCAATACGTTATGAAGCTTGTTGGTTCCACTAGCCATAATTAACAGCAAGATTAATCAGTGTTTCTGATTTATACGTTTCTGAGTTCATTAAACCGCAATTAATTCAATTCTTCCACAAAACTCCTGTTTATAAATGTGGGACATTATGCTTCTGTATCTACAATTCAAAACACCAGGAAACAGCCTGACATTGCTGCACGGTACTGTGTTGCCAGCAGGAAAAAGGATACCAAGCTTTAAGTAGCAAAGGGCACCTTGAATCTTGACAACACCAATGGCAGCAGTCAAGATGGTCTACCGGATACCCTCTTCTGCTCACCATCATTCACACTTGTCCAAAAACAGCCCTGGCTATTGCATTGTGTTTGGGTGAGAAGTGATAACTGATGAAAACAGGAGTCATTTTCTGGGATTTTCCTTTGTTTGGTGTCTCTTTGTGAATGGTAGTGAGCACCATTTTAAATCTGGGAATGTTCAGGGTTGCTTGATTCTGCACAGGGTGGGCAAACAGTTTTACTTTTAAAAAATCATAACTCAAAAACCCTTGATCTGGCAGAAAGCAAAAGCAGTCCAGTTTTTTGTTTGGTATGTCCCCAGTTTTAGAATTGTCTTGTAGAATATTGCTTTGCTCTGCTTCACAATAACACAGCTACACTACTAGCTGCAGTTATAATTTGAAACAGATGTAAAAGTTCCTGATTTCTTTACCTTGCAAGAAGGGAGGGGAAGCATGTGAATCCAGAGATTATTAATGCTCATTTTCTTTCTAAGCGATAGCCTGGTATTACGTTTGAACCATGACAATGGAAAACAACTGTATGGAACTGGAATCTATTGCACAATTTACAATGAAATTGTGGGCATCCCTTCTGACCCTCTCCATTAATAAAGGAACAGCTAAATATATAATACCATAGACAAAATCCTGTGGATATAACTGTGCTGGCATAACCCAGATCAGTTGATGGAAACATTTAATTCAAGCTCATGGGAAATTTCCTATTTCCCCCCTTTCAGGTTCTGTGGCTCTCGAGGGCTTCCCTTTGCCCTCGGGAAACCTTTGGGAGTATGAGGACGGGGGAACCTTTAATATTAAAAAAAACTGCTGATGGTGATCCTAATCCTAAAAAACAGGCAATTAGTAGATGTTTCTTCAGTATTCACAAAGAAGGGAAAAATAATGCATTTCATCAGAACAAGTTGAAACTCCAGGTTTATACTTACTTCACAACTACTTCAGTGTCTATTTCTTCTATCTGTGATACTGTTTTGACTACACACTGCAAAATATGAGAAAAATATATATTAACTTTGTCTATCAAAAAATTTTCAATCCCAAATTATTATTAAATAATAAATAAATATTATTTAACATTGTCTTTTAACAATCTAAGTTGCATCGGGTGGGTTTAAGGAGAAAGGCAGGGTAAAAATATTTTAAATCAATCAATCAATCAATTTCCAAATTTCTTGATTAGCCTTGTGCTCAAGGTTGTTCAAGTACTGAAGCAGAAAAAACACACGGAGTCTCTGTACTCTTCCTCCCTTCTCTCTTTTTCTTTCACTTGGCACCTTGTTTTATTCTTAGGTCCCAACAAACCAGAATTTCTTGTTTTTGGATTGTGCTATGCCAGAGATCAAACTATCCTCATTTCCAGGTACTGCAGCTAAGAAATCAGGATATTAAACGGAGTATGAATGCAGAGTGGAAGCTCTGAACCATCACCATCTTCATATATACGTATTGGCTTAAAGAGACTGGAAAAACCATCTGAGTTGGGCCAGTAAGTAACTGTCTTTTCAATGTACATAAAATTATATCATTTTTTTTAACTCTTGCATTGTTCATTTCATTCATAGATGCTGATTCCCCTCTCTGAGAAAAAAATAATATGGTAGGCAAAATGTCTAGAAAAATAATTACCTGCTTTATTATGCTCTTTGCTGTAATAATAATTTCATCTCCATAGATTTCAAAAAAATTCAGCTTCCTTTGTTTTAGAAGTCCAAACACTAGTGATACAAGCCTTTCCTATTTTAGGAGGAAATAAAAATCAAAAGAACATGTGAAAGAATGGTAATTAAATCTGAAAAACAAAGGAAAACACTGAACAATGAAAAATATGTTACTAAACTAAAAAGAAAATTTAATGTTACGTTGAAAAATAGTCTCCATGTTATTATGTTCATCAAAGCACCCAATCATGAATCTAACAAAGAATAGTTGCCAAACTTTTAATGCACAAACCCAGTGAATGCTCTAACACATCTTTAATAGAAAATAAATCTGTTATAAAAGTTCCATAAAGAACTAAGCTGTGTGCTACACTTGAAAATAGACCTGGCATCATTAGATAGCATAGTAAAGCAGCTGCTGGAGGCCACTTCCAACACTGATGGCTGCTGGCGTCCCCTACATCTGGTGACACACTAATGGCAAAACCTTTACTTGCAAGGTCTCTGGCAGCCATTGTTATGGCCATTATTTCCATTTCTCACAAAATACATTAACTCAGAATTTCACTGTACTTTTAATAAAAACAACAACAACAACAAAAAATTGCTGTTGCTTTTTGTTTCACCCACAATATCACTGTATCAAAAGATTTGGGGAACATGGCATTTTGGGGAAGCAAAGATGATTGACAACAGCCATGTCAATTGGAATTCCCTCAAGAGCCTTACTAATTCTGAAGCCAGCCTTAGTTATATATGAGTCTGCATCTGCCCAGGAAGAAAAGGCAAGAAAGAAATTATTTTACAATATTATGCAGAGATCACAACAGCAAATCTAGTGTGTATTAGCTTCCTCTTACAACAAAAATACAGGACTGAAAGTGCTAGCAATACATTGGATTACCTCCCATCTGTTCCTTAAAACTTAGCACAATGTATCACAAGTTATGCATGTTTATAATGGATGTCTTTCTTGCTAATGATATGGACTGGGGAAGAGCCATGAAATTGATATTTCAGTAATAAAAATAATACCTCTCATCATTCATCTATTTAAAAAATGTGGCATATGAACAAAAGTTGTTCCTTTTTTCTTATCTTGACTATAATATTGTTAATCCTTTCAAGACTTCAAAGGTTTGCATGTTTTTTTTCCTTTAAAGGAAAAACAGTTAAAGACAGATTTCCAAAGGCAACACCTGATTTTTAACCCACACTGTCATCCTAATTCAGTGTACAGAATGCAAACTCAGTGTATTTTTGATGACAGTACTGTGTACAGGAAGAGTTTAGATAAAGGGCTGGACAAACTGTGTGCATCCTGTAATGGATGACTAATAATTAAGAATACAATAAAAAATACCAAAATGTGAAAGAACAAGGGTGAAACTAATTTTTATAAAACCCCATCAAGTTACATTGCTGTAAATTAGGAAAAAAAGTGAATGGCTCTCCCATACAGTGTTCCTATTTTTGCCCTGAAGATTCAAGTATTTAAATGAAACAACTGAAAGGTAAGCACTTTACCTCTTCTAGAATTTGGGATTCTTCCTCCAGAGGTCTATTTAAGTCACTGCGAGCATAAGTACAAAACTCTGCAATCATCATTTTATCTATGAGCTTTTCTAGTTCACAAAGCTGTGATCCAAGATGCCTGTACCAGGAAAAAAATGAGCAAGAAATGAAAGCTGGAAAAGTAATCAAGGAAAGGAGATGTGAGAATGGTAAGTTAGCCCTCTATTTGGTTTCTAGCACACAGGATGTATTAATTATAATTTCCTTTGAAACAAAAAAAGAATTCCACTGTGGCAAGTCAGGAATTTCTACCAAAGGGTAACAATTCATTAGAACTGTGTTTTCTGTGCTCATTAGCTTCCTTCAATGTATTTAAATTCCAAAGAATGACTCTCTTAAGTAGAGCAAATAGAATTTATAGAGCTCTTAACTGGGTTAAGATAAAAAAGAAAAGCAAGAATATATAACCCAATGTGACAACTGCAGTCTGTCATTTTTTATAAAAACATTATTCTATTGGTAAACATCACACTGGGTTGACAATATTTAAGTTCTTCACCGGTTCTCCTCAAAGACCAGAAGTTGTTTTTTTTTAAAAAATGGGAAACAAAGGCCAGGAGGAAATGGACAGTTCTTGTGATGGATGGAAGCAAGCACTGTAGTCTCCACCCACAAGGATACCTATCAGTGCATATGTTATTAACCTTTCATAGAAACAGTGCACAGTTGCTACTGGCTTCTGATAGTAGCACCACTGGTGCAGTATCTGATGGCTTCCGCTCATGCAGAGTTGCTACTAAAATTTTATTTTTCTATTTCTCTGACTTTCCCTGACCAACTTCTGTTGATTTTCCTGACTACTATTTGAATACAATTCCACATTTAAAAATTGCTACCTTAGATTCCATTAATTAAAGGCTTCATGAAGTGTTCTACTGATCAAGTCCACAAGCCTCAAATGCAAAAATATCTGTCAAGGTAGGAGATTTAATATTAGCTTATTTAAATACTATTATCTGCAGAAATATCTGTTCTGAAGTTGCACTAAAATTATACCAAAATGGAAACTTCAGCCTGAAGTAATCTTTGAATGATAATGGCGTTTCATTTCTGTTCTTGTTTGAAAGGTAGACTAAAAATTATACAAAAGCAAATTTCAATGAATGTTCTATCCAAAATGAAAAACAAAGTCACACTAGGAAACTCATAGTTTGGAAACTGCTATTAAAAAAAATAAGTTAGAAATACAATTATGTGAAATGTTGCAACTTAGGAAGGAGGTCTTCAGCAGTAGTAGTCTGATTTTTTTAAAAAAAAAACTGGTGGTTTGTGTGTGTAACTTTATGACAGTATTCACCTCAGAAACAAACCACTAAATTCATCATGTACCTTTTGAAAAATCTTGTTCAAAGTTTCATCAAAACAGATAACAAATGTTTCCTGCTGTTTCAGTAAAAGATTGGAGAAGTCTGGTGTCATACATTGCTTTTGTTTTTCCAAGAAGAAACTTTTGGGTTATTTGGCTGGGAACATTTGCTTGAATGCTGTTACAAGAGTTAAATGACATCATCTTCAGACCATATGTTGTCCTAACCCAGTCCTGGATGCACAGGCAACCTTATTAGCTTGCATGACAGGTAATTCTTTGCCACTTCCATCACTCTAAACATATTCCAGACTTTTGTATGGGTTGCCTCTTGATCATCTCTGCTTTTATTACCTGAACTCGTACTTGGCTTTGAACCTTAAATATTTCAATAGACTGCTGACTTAATTTAATTTTGATGTAATGGTCCTTTTGCATCAGACTCCACAGCTCTAATTCCCATATTATTTTGTTCAAAGCACATTTTACAAAAAGCAATGAATTTGTTCCCAGCAACTGGTGTAACCCATGGAACAAGGTCAGCATGAAATTTGATATCCAACCATTACATATTAAAAACTGTTCCTATAAATGCCATTTTTAAAATGTAGTTTCACATACAGCCCGGCACAGAAGCACCAACCTGACACCAAGATATTGCATATTTGGTTGTCTTGCAAGTAGGAAATTTCCCAAGCTGGGAATAACTTTCTAGATTCCAGGAAATGTAATGAATAGATCAGCAGCAGAGAAGGAAGTGTAGTTTAAATCAGTGGTTCTTAACCTTTGTTACTCAGATGCTTTTGAACTGCAACTCCCAGAAACCCCAGTCAGGACAGCTGGTGGTGAAGGCTTCTGGGAGTTGCAGTCCAAAACTCCTGAGTAACCCAAGGTTAAGAACCAGTGGTTTAAATGCTTGCCGATCATTTCTGCAAACTAGGAGAAACAGATAACCATCATCTGAAAGCTTTATGCACGGAATAGGTCACAGAAGAGGGTGAGAAAACTGCTTCTTTGTAAACTTCAGGAGAAACAAACAACCCCACCTGCAAACATCACTTTGCAGCTGGAGAGAAAGTGCTAGTTGTCTGTGAAACCCAAGAGCAGTGAATCTCATTTACCACTCAGTTCTGGGATTAGCAAGAAATGCTCATTACATACCCAACCGTAACTTCAACATGTTTATCTTTCTATGTAAAATGGAAACAAATAAAGGTAAGTGAAACATAATACTCGCAGGTAGAGATTAAAGTTTTGAAGTTTCCACATTGCTTTAAGTGTTTAAACTAGCCTCACTTTGCAAAATCTACACGGTGATGTTGCAAAGCATGCAGGGACACTGCTCAACAAAGGCAGTAGGCAGGTTGCTGGAGCTACATAGGTGGAGCTGGGAAAGACCAGAGAAAGGAAAGGTCATTAAATTCTACTTCTGCTGTGCTATTTTTCTATGCCAACTGGCATAAGACAAGCTCATCATCTTGAAGCAGTATATCAAAAACCCACCATGACTTAATCACAATTTCCCTCACTTTTGATCAATTTCCATTTCCCTGACCTTCCAGTATGTGGCAACCCTTGGATGACAACATCACTGAGATTAGTATTCACTGTAACCATTGTAATTAAATCCAACACTACAGTGTAACTACATTTTTTTCTCTAAACAGCAATTGACAGATGATCAACATAGGGGAAGGGCTGTTTCCTTAACACCAAGTGTGCAAAAACATCTGGATGAACTGCATTGATTTCTGGAATCATCTACATCACCACGGTTATAGCATCTGAATTGTCATGAATCTGGAAAGGTTCCACTTACATTTACAAAATCCTCTTTCCTCCAAATGTCCTTATGTGCTCTCCAGATGTTCACTAACATTTCAGTAAATATGGGGAACCTGTCATGTGATTCACATATAAGATAATATAACAGGTAAAGGTAAAGGCTCCCCCTGACATTTAGTCGAGTCGTGTCCGCCTCTAGGGTGCAGTGCTCATCCCTGTTTCTAAGCCATAGAGCCAGTGTTTGTCAGTAGGCAGTTTCCGTGGTCACGTGGCCAGTGCGACTATACATGGAATGTTGTTACAAAGTACTGTAGCTAATAATAAAAATTCATCTATACCTGAATTACAACCTATGTATGCTGAACAACAGTGTATATAAGAATTCCTCCTGTATCAGGGATAGAGGTTAAAGACTTTTTAAAATTAAAATAAACGCTTTTCCTTATGCTTTTAGCATTCACTGATATATCTGCCACTGAACAGTGGATTTAATTGATACAACTTAGAAATGAGCAGATAATTAATCCATATTTAAAAAGTAGGATAATGTATAAAAATAGATTATATTAACGTAACTTGAGGCATGACTATGAACCTCTGATGGAATATCTTAAAAGTCACCTACCGGAAACTGTGAATGCCCTGCAGTTCCTGTTGTAGCACCTCTTGTGTGGTTGCAATTAAGTCCAATGCTCCAACAAATTCAGAAGTGGACAACAATAGCTGCACAGTAGGCTGCGTCTGATGCACTGTTGCCATCAGCTTCAACTTATTATACGCTTTTATACAGTTACTTCTAGCCAACGACAGTCTTAAAACCTTAAGAGAGCCTTCACACATTACTTTATCAATTTGGCCTATTTTATCTCGAAGCATTTTTACAGCCTGGGAAGTTTTCTTGAGGTAGTCTTGCAGTTCATGCTGCGAGGTCATTGCATGAAAAAATGCTTCTGAGCGGAGAGAGATTTGATGAGCAATATTTACTTCCACAATATCGAGATAGTGGCTTAGCTTAAGAGAAAAAAAAAAAGAAATTATCACTGTTAACGTAAGAGTTTAATCTACCAGAATCACTGTTATAGTGCTTGACATTTCAAAAAAAGAAAACTGTTCATATTTTTTTATAAATCATAACCTATAAATAATATCTCATGTCTAAGTAACATGAAATTTCAAATAATTCTTGATTTAAATAAATATGCACACCCTGAGAAAAACAAAACAGAATAATCCCATGTGAGTCTGCAAGAACATCTCTGTCTCCCTGGACTACAAAGCTATTGCTTTCCAAGAAGGAAAAAAAAAACAGTTCAAACCAAGAATGCGGCAGCATGAGCCTTGCTGGAAACTGGAATTCAGCTGCAGAATAGTTTTTGTTTTGATAAATTATGTACTCCACTATTGGAATTGTTCCTCGTGAAGGACTACTATGCACTATCAATCCTGCTTTTGCTAATTAGTTACCTCTCTGATAGTAAAGACCTGTCATTTGAAAACCACACCTCTGATGCGGCTTGTGCTTTTTTTAAACTTACTCCTAAGAAACAGGCCTGGCACAAGAATCTGCTATGAACTTTTGGGACTCCAATTTCTCTGCACTATTGACAAGACATCACTGCATGCCAAGGGAAGTGGAGTTTAATTCATGGTTGTATGATTTTTAGCAGTCTAATAAAGGTATCTTTTACTCTTGCACTGTATTGTGTAGGCACCACACAATCTCTTCTATTTCTTAAAGACACTATTTTATTCTTTTCAGGAAATACGAAGTAGAAATTCAATAAGATAAATAAATAAATATCTTTGCATCTGTCCTAACTGGGATGACTCCAATCCACAGTTGGCTGTATGTCAACACAAACATGCCTCTGGAATACCGGGACATTTATTCTCCAAGAGCTCAGTCAGTGTGGCGGCGTACAAAAGTTGCATGCTTCACATAATTGCTTTGAAGCAAAACATATGCTTTTTGCACATTTGAAACAGAATGTAGCGAACCATATTTAATTAACAAATCACCTCCTAAAACTACACTATTACGTAGAGAACAATGTTTTTATTCAAGCTCAGCTCTTCCAAGGCTACCCACCCCACCCTCTGGAGCAGATATCTGGCAGGCATGAAGAACTGGAAAAATGAATTAGAAAACAATGCTTTCCATCCTCTTAAACAGAAATCTCTGCTGCATCATAGTGCCTTCTGTGAACTAAGGACAGCACTGAATCTGATCTAATGCTACAGCTGCCCAAACTAAAGATGGTGGAGATGACTAAATGCAACATCTAGATTTTTATTTCCTCCTCAGCATGGCACTTTAACAAGGCAACTTCCACTGCACTTTCTTAACAATATCTGCAATGAAACCCACTTACCTTTTCCTGAAGCAACTTTGAGGAAGCTGCATCATGATTTCCTTTTCCTCCAGCAGTATTAAAATGAGACCAAGGTAACACTGCATTAAATATTAATGGATCCTCCAAGGCAAAATCTGGTTTCATAAAAATCTAAGGGAAAAAAATCTCTTATCATTCTCACATACCATTAATATCCTTACATTTAATTATGGGGTGCAGGCTCGTCTAACGCATATACAAGCAGTACTGACAGAGCGTACCATTTCAATTTTAAATGAAATAACATCCTTCTTTTACATGTCAATTTGTGCATCCAATTAAAAGTAATATTAGATTTATATACAGATGCAGATAGTACAGAACGCTGCTTTAGCTATCCATGTAAATGATGGCATTTAATGCTTTAAAATTAAGATTGGGCATTTAGCTAATCAAAAACACCTATTCAAACAACTGATTAAGTATTTATTAACAGCATTAGGAAAAATACTAAAAAGAAAAACTTATACACTGGTGCCTCGCAAGATGGTTTTAATTCGTTCCACGAAAATGGTTGTCTTGTGAAAAAATTGTCTTGCAAGGTTCCCTATGCATTGGTCTAAAAAAAAAAACCCAACGTATTGCAAAGCATCGGTCTTAAAAAAATGTCTTGCAAAGCATCAGTCTAAAAAAAAAAGTCTTGTGAAGCATGGTCATAGAAAAAAAGTCTTGCAAGGCACCATAGTGATCACAAAAACCAATTGCCTTGCGGGTTTTTCGTCCCACGAGGCAATCGTCTAGCGAGGCAGCACTATAACAAGTTATGCTAATTACAAAACAAACTTATTAACTGTCTATGTTACCACTCTAAACAAGAATTGTCCACACACTGCAGTCAAAGAACTACCCAAAAACAGTATTTACAAAAAAAACTGTGACTTTTAAAAGGTAATTGATTTTTATCCACTCTGCTGCCTATGAAATTATTCAATCTTACCTTAGGTACTTGCTCCAAATCTGTCCTGGATTTATCTGAAAATGAAATCAAAATGAAATGCCGTTGGAAGATATGACTTTTCAATGGACACCTGTAGTAAATCCCAATGGCTGGCATTCTGTTGGCAGAGCTCCACAGTTCTAAGGCTGACAAGGAAACTTTAATGTTAAAGATCAATGTCCACAGCTGATGACTCCATTAGCTTTTGTGGTTATGGAGTTACTCAACTAGATTTCGCCCTTAATTTATAAATGTTCAAATATTGTGAAATTATAGAGATATTTAACATAGTAAGAAGTGTTGTGAACTGAACACGCCATAGTGAGAAATACAGTAGGACTCCTATATCTGCTGCGGATGGGTTCCAAGCCCCCTCTGTGGATACTGAAGAAAAAAAAGCAGAAAAATTGTTTTCAAATGCATTACCAGAACTGGCCACTAGAAGGTGCCAGAGACCATGCTGTGCATTTTCCACTAACAAATACAGTGGTGCCTCGCTTAACGGGTGCCCCATTTAACGACAAATCCGCATAGCGATCGCAAAAGCGATCACATTGCGATGTTCCCTATGGGGAAAAATCGCTTTGCGATTTTTCCCCACAGGCCCCATTTTCTCCCATCTGACTGGTGGGCGCTTCGGAAGGACCGCGGCTGCGGTCCTTCGGAAGTGCCCGCCAGCCAGCTATGCGAAAATGCCGGCGGGGGCTTTGGGAGGACCGTGGGGGAGCTCTCCCCCGTGGTCCTCCCAAAGGCCCCATTTTTTGCACAGCTGATCGGCGGTTCCAAAATGGCCGCCGGATGAAGAAAATGGCAGCCGGCAGCGTTTTCGTGCCGATCCCTCGCTTATCGAGGCGGCGAAAATGGCGGCCGTGTGGACGATTCCTGCTTAGCGGTGAATTTACCCCCCATAGGAATGCATTAAACTGAGTTTAATGCGTTCCTATGGGGTTTTCTATTCCGTATAGCTATGTTTCCGGATAGCGACGTTTTTCCTAGAACGGATTAACTTCGCTATGCGGGGCACCACTGTACTGTATTCATAGCACTGTCTCTGGCTACTTCTAATGCTGATTCTGGTAATAAACGTGAAAATAGTTTTTTCTAGGTATTTTTCTTTTACTATTTTTAATATATTCTGATGGTGGATAAATGAATCAGTGGATACTGATCCCATGGAATAAGGGGGTCTTATGTGCTAAATTCCCCAGTTTTAAGGAGACAAAAACATTCTAATTATAGCAAACACCATTTGCAAACTGAAGGAATTAGTCAGAACACAAGTGGAGCAGTTATTCACCTCCCTCACCCTGACAACTACTGAAGCAACTTGGAAATAGAAAGTAACACCATGTCTTCAATTCTGTTTTAACAGAAGGAAATTTTTACTAGGTTTAGGTGACAAAAATGAATCCAGAGATGTTCACTGGGTCTCTGTGTTATTTTAATCTTTTAATACAGTTCCTTTGTACACTGCTTGGACAACAGCAGAAGGTCCAGATGACATGGTAGGATTCCACAGCACACCTCCTACCTATATTATTTTTTACCACCCTGCAAAATATGGCAAGACTAGCATAGGTAGGTACATTGATATGTTTTGATTGTATTCCTGCATTGAGCAGGGGGTTGGACTTGATGGCCTTGTAGGCCCCTTCCAACTTCACTTTCCTATGATTTCCTATGATTGTATGGATACTTCCAAACAGCCCTTGTCTCTGATGTTACCCGACCACTCAAAAAAGATGCACTGCAATACTTCACAAGCTATGAATACATTATTGCTGTTATGCTCTCAAGCCACCTCCAATTTATGATAACTTTAAGAACGAGTGACCTCCAAAGAGTCCTGTCCTCAGCAACTCTGGTCAGCTCTTGTAAACTTAAGGATGTGGCTTCCTTTATGCATAACTGAAGATTTGGAGGACAGGCAACAAGTATGTGAAGGTATAGGAATGGTTCTGAGTTTAGAACAATGCATACTTTGTGAAAATTTGGTCTGAAAACTATGGAGTATGTATGGATTTTCCAGTGACCATAGTTGCTTACAATACCAGTAGCACTTTAAATAAAATACCTACCGTAAATGTATATGCCCCTTTAAAGAGGAATATGAAGGAGTATAAAAAAAACCAAACCACCACACCCCACCCAACCTACCATGAGTATGTAAAATTGTCCTGTCAAAAGTGTCTTTAGGAGGACAAATGGTCTTGCATTTCTCATGAATCTTCTCTCTCTAAAAAAAAAAGAAGATAATGAAATGGTTTCAAAGGACAAACAATACGTTTGCAATATGAACAAATTAGATAGTCCCATACTAATATGCAATTTTATTGGTTCAAAGCAACTCATATACAGCATTATTCAAGAAATGCAACTCACAATTTGCATTGCATTCCCTAAGCATTTATTATCATCCACCATCAATATTCTTCCTGTCTCTGGTCATGAGATACACATATACATATAAAAACATATATGCCTGCTCTGTCCTTCACAAGTTTTTAATGAACGGATGAATAATAGTATGACTCATTTTGTACTATAGTTTACAGTTCAAAATGAAATCCCATTTTCCAAAATGGTTTGAAATTCTGTCGCTTTGTTACACAAAAGGCACAACTTTTAATTGTTTCTGGTTGGCAGCTAGAGTCCCTGCTGGGATTCTCAAGTGCAAGCCAGGCCAGTGGGTACATATGCTCCTAAGAGACCCAGAAGTGACCTGTTGAATGTCTATTAGGAATGCACTGAATGTTACATTTTTTGTGTAACAAAGCAGTAGAATTTCAGCTAAGGGAACATTTAGATTGTGCTGAAGTCACCACACCAATCCATGAGTGCATGAGCATGATGATTATTTCACGCTTTATCATGCTGGGATTATTATTTCAGAACTAGCCCGCAACATACCTGAGAAGCATAATCCAAAGTCTGTGACCATGTAATAGACCTGCCTTCTCTTGTGTTTAAAAACAAGGCAATACTGAGCAAGACCACTTCCTGGAGCACTAAGGCTACAATCTAAATGTTCTTATTTGGAAAAAAGTTAGCAATATAACATAAGATCTATTTTGCATATTTTGCATAAACATGCATACAGTGGGCTCCTATACATTTCCAAAAGTAGGAATAATAATTGCATAGCAAAATTTTCCATCTCTATGGGACAGAAAGTGAACTGTATATGGCACTTATTTAGGAGTCATAGCTATTAATAATGCACTAAAATGCACTATTATTATATTCTTATATCAGTGAGATGCTGAAACATATCACCTAGATCCTAGCACTAATGACAGTTTTTTAGATGCTGTGTCTAGCAAGAACTTCACAGTAAATTTCTAATGCCATTTCTAATGCTTCACTTCAAGAGCATTCATCTGAAAAACAGACCTGAATTTTGTGTCTGTATACAGTCAAGATACAAGTTTTAAAAATTTAAATATATGCTTTAACAAATTCACATTATTCATGAATACAGGTATTTGGAACTTACTATACCTGATATTAAAGAAATAAATCAGCTTTGAAAATCTGTTTAAGTTGTCAGCTATTCTGCACAATATGAAAGGCATTAAAAGATCTCCATAATATCATAGGCTTAGTGTACATTCTGCAATATATAATTTCACCTTAACAAGGCAACTCTGCTCTGAATTAGATCAATAATTTTTCAATGTTACATTCTATTGACCAGAATAACCTGCAGACAACAGTCACAATGGGTTTCATTTGCATTAAGAAACGAATTTGTGATAACAAATGCAGATGGACCTAGTACATGGATATACAGTGTTTCTTCCCTTGTACCTGAGCAATTTCCTGTTGGTATGTTGCAAAATGTTCCTTGCTGATCTGTGGGAGGTAGAGTGAAGGCACAATTTCAATTTCCACAAAATCCTGTCCCCATGTTTTTGTAAAGAAATCAGATTCCCTTTTTGTTAACCGAGGATCATTTAGTGCTGCTGGGAGATTCACTTTGGAATGATAAATAGTCCATCTGTGCTGATCAGCAACTAAAGATGGGCTGTCACACAAACTAGTAGGATCACCTGCAAGACCAAAACAAATAAAAAACACAAAAACTCACACAATGAAATATACAACATGACGAGGACATGCATTTTTCTAATACTGGGAAGATAACAGCCAAATATGACTACAGATTTTTTAAACCATATACATAAATATATGAAGAATATATTCCACAGCAGTAAGCCTCACTGACTTGATATCGAAACTGGGAACAAGTAACTTTCTGTAATAATGAACTGGAACACTATTACTTTTTTGCTTGTAATTTACTACTCTTTCAATGAAACTAGAACAGGTGCCTGATTAATGTTTGGAGAAAAGAAAGCATGCTGGTTAAAGTAGCAAATGCATGCAGACTTGGGTACTTTTATCATTTTCTATTTTTTCTCATCTTCTCAGGTAGCTGTTTACTTACAAACAGAGCCAAGTAGAAAACGGTTATGGAAATGAAAAGCTGAAACATGGCAACAGGTTTTATAGAGACTTTGCTCTTCTTCCTCTTTGATTTAAAAGGACAATGGCTGGGGCCTGCTTTTCCTCTTCTTTCTACTCTCTTCTTTCCCTCAATTTTCTGCTTCCTATTCTTCCCTATCACTGGAGAACAGGACATATGAAAACACAAGAGGAAAAAGCAGGGGCAGCAGCAAACAAGCTGTCCAACAGAAACATGGGGTTGCAGGTCACAGCCAGAATGGACAGAGATGTTGTCTGAAAAAGTGCAACTCAGGCTGAAGTAGTTGTCGTGGTGTTTCTGATGTGTTCTGGAGTTGAAACACAAAGTCCTGGATCAGCAGTGGAGTAGGGGGGCATATGTCTTCCTCTTTCAACACTACCCTCTCAAAACTCATACACCTCCCTCCACCTCCTGAGATATGAGAGGGGGGGGACACCTTCTTGATCCCAGGTTTTGCAAGAAAAACATTCTTCCTTGATATTGAAAGAAGAATAGAAAAGAACTTGAAAGATGAGTATTGAATACTCAGTCTGTCACCTACCTATCTCTTTACCAGTCACATGAAGGAAATAAAGTGTGACTGATATCCTGTACATTGGATTCATGCTAGTTTTGTTACAGAGTTTACCTGTGGGTTCCTTGGGACATACATCCGGCAATGATTGTACTGTTCGAAAGCGTCTAGCAGAATCCATTTCCTTTTTAAAGAAACCATCACTGCTTTTTGATTGAGGCACTGGTGAAGAATGGTGGCTTGAGGCCATTGCATAAAGTCGCCACTGGATAAGTACTGAATTAAGATAAATAAAAAATAGTCATGCAGGTATGTTCAGATGTCTTGAGAGAATTATGAAATGTATATACTCTGTTATATAAAAGAAAGCATTTACAGCAACTGAAAGTACTGTAACTGAAAATAAATACTTGTAATTGAATGCAACTGTAGCAACAACTATTAATATATACAGTGTTTCAAATGTATTATCTTAATCCTACAACAACCTTATCTTTTAGGATAACAGTATTGGTACCCAAGAGCTAAAGGAGAAGAAGCTGAGAGATCACATATCAGTTAAGGACAAGATCCAGTTTTGCAGCCAGCGTTCATTCTTAATTCAAATTCAGCCATTATCCTACATCAGCTGTAGCTAAGACATATGATAAGGAACTAAAGCTGCTATTACATTTTGGAAGTCATCTGCTACAATAATTAAATAGAAGCTGAAATTGTAAGGCTCATTAAAAAAGAGACAATAGCTGAAATCCTGTTGCACAACTCCGCTGCATCTGTCTGATGATATTCATATTTCTCTTAATTAAAAGTTTCCTTTCCACATCTTTGCAGGTCCCTTGGCTCCCCATGGATCCCTTTTGTCCCGCAGAAGCCTTTGGGAACTTTGGAACCAGAGGGCTGAGAGAGGCTTTAATATTGGAAAATTGTTGCTGGATCACTGCTGGTGGAAATGCAATTTTCTGATACTAAAGACCTCCCTTCCATCCTGAGGCTCCCAAATAGGCTCTCAGTCATGATAGAACAAGGCATTTTTACAAAATATTAATTTAAATTGCAATGGTGTACTCACTTGGAAGTAATTTCTATTAAGCTCAACTGAGCTTACGCCTGAGTAAATTCATATACAAATTATTATTTGGATACATAACACAGGTTTTGTATTCTTCTAAGAACTGGAAACATGTACATAAAGAAGTTTGGATTGGGTCAAGCTGGAAGAGATTACACACTGGGCCAAAGAACAACTCTGCTGATGATACCGTCTCTTCACATTTAATATTTAATGATCTAAACAACTTATTTTAACGATTTATAATTATTTTAATACCCAATTAATACCTTAGCATTTCTAACAATTTTTAATAACAGAACCTTTAATGTTGGCCTACACTCAATTTTATCCTTTTTAAAAAACAAAAAGTCAACACTGGACTTATATACCATGCTAGCTAATAGGCTGTCAACAGTTTCAGATAGATTTCTTTTTAGGTTGTTATGAAAGTTTTAAGTCACGAGAATCAAGGCGAATGTAACACGTCATATTCGTTCATTCTGTAACTCTGTCACAAAGTTAGAAGAGTTCCTACTGGATATTGCTTTCCTCTGTGCCTGGCTTCAAAACTAGGCAATTTTATTCTCTCATTTTCTTCCTGCCCCTCCATGGCTTATCCCCCAAACTATTTTCTACTCCTAAATCCTGCATCAGCTACCACACCATACTCAATAAAATGCTGTGTCCCTGTTATGGATTGTTAAAAGAGGTGTTATCTCCCTTTCCAAGGACAAGCTTGGTAAAACCTTAACAGGGAACTAAGGATTAGAGACTTGCAAAGTCCTGGGTAAAATTTTCACTACAAATTATAAAAATTCAAGCAGCTCTTAGAAGAGCCAATGGTTCACTCCAGGATAAAAATGACCATGTGAATAACTAAAAGGTTAACTCTGATAGGTAAACTGACAACATCAGAAGGGAACAGGTAGAATGGATTTTTAAAATAATAATGAAATTTGAAACTCTGAATAAACAAGTCTCATATTCTGCTTTGCTATCTGGACTAAACAGAATTATTAGAGCTTAAATTTCAATCACATTCACCTGGTAGTAAGCTCTATTGAACTCAATGGGACTTATTTCCAAATAAACATGTATAAAATTGTGCTGTGCAGAGAAATGCTAGATTGCAGATTAAAATGTAGGTAATGGGCCTATAATGAACAGTACTCTGCTTATGAGGGGAGGTTGACCATTACATCCAGACCAACATCTCAAAAGCAAGCTGCTAATACCAGCTTTTTGTCACTAATCTTTCACAGGTACAGGATATAGCATGTGCATCCAGTTACTTTACAGGTCAGTATGACATACAGAATAGGATCCATCCAGCTTCAAATGGCAAGCTCTCATTCCATCTACTAATATACAGGCTAGGAGAAAGAGATGCAGAGCCTTGCATGCATTCGACTCAGAGATGTCCTATATCAAATGCTGAGCCAGAGGGACACCCAGAGGAGGGGCATCTGAAGAGCTCATAACTCTTTAGGGCTACAACACTACAAAATGTGTTTAAACAATGTCTAAGAGAAGAGCAGCAGTAGAACCACCACAAAACACACAACAGTCGCTTTTAGCTTTTATAATTATGCACAGTTTAATAAGTATAACCAGAAAAACTGAACGTAAGGACAGAAAAGGGCATATTTGGCTGAGTTTTCATAAGGTAAAATCAAACGCTTACACAGCTGGAAAAGAAGGTTCATATGCTGAAAATAAATTAGAGGAATTAAACAACCATTCAGTTGTCAGCATTTTCATTATGTTTTGTTCTCCTTTTTGCAACCCTCAAGATCTGAAAGGCACCCATAAGTACAAGTCGTCTGAAAAACTGAAAGAACTTCACACATGTTTACAAAGTGAACAAAGGGTAAAGAAAAGGTGGGAGGGAAGTATCATTATGTTATAGCAGTTACATCTCATCTCTGCCTGCTGCAGTGAGGAACTGTTTACATGATTGTGCTTATGCTCCAGTTAGAAAACTGAACTGAACATTTAATTGAGTCTCCAGATAATGATAAAAATTATACTCTTTCTAGGAACAAATTCACTAACTAGCTTAGTGCTAACTAGGCAAGGGAAATTTGTATCCTTATCTGGGTGCACTGATTTAGATCAAATATTCCAGATTTGAATTCAAGTATTCCACAAACACTTATGTACACTAGTCTTCATCACTTTTAGGCTGCAGAATTATGTTTATGAAGACAACAAAGAGACTTCCAGGATTAGATCCTAGATCAGCTCATTCACTAAGGGTTATGGCTGAAATGTTATGCACACATATTGAGGGATTGCCTCTGATTAATTATGTATTAGAATTACTGCTTATGCATAGAACCGTCCATCAGCTATGGCTATTAGTAACCAGGGATGCCAAATCCATGCTTTTTGATTAGTAGTCATAAATATTATTACAATTAGACATGAATACATTGCAGAGAGAGCTCACAAACAGATAGAGGATATATGTCATTACTGTCCAGAATAGGTGATATTCATTTATGCTCATAGACACATATACATTCTTTCCCTTTATGTCAAGAAATCCTGTAGCTTAGCATAGTAAGCCCCAACTTGAGTAGGTCAACTGATCAAGAGAACTTATGGAAGAGCTACAGTGCTTCAACTTACAACCATTTCGAGTTACGTCCATCTTCTGGAACAGATTATGGTCGTAAGTGGAGGCACCACTGTAGTTCACAAAATCCCCATTGATTCAACGGGCCTACTCTACTTGCGATTTACTATGCTTAGCAGCAGAATTTCAGCCATTTTGTGTCTAATTATTCCTATCTATGAATGATGAAATTAAATATGCTGCACTCTGCAGCTACTACATGATAAATGCCTAACAATGTTAAGACACTAAGTTTCCATACCTTAGTGACACAACTCCAAGAATGTCCCAGTAAGGCAGGCCTCGTATCTCTTCCAGTTCCATAGGTTGAAAAAAAACTCTTGAAATGGTAGGATACATGTGTGTTTTCAAGTTCTAAATGAAAAATAGCAACATTAAAATCAGAATGTTTTTATGTAAGATACTTGTGCACAGAATGATTTTATCATGTTTCAGTTTCATAACTCTAAAAGGCTTATATTGTGAGCCCATGAATTCTATCATGATAACTTATTTCTACATGTTCAATGTGTATCATAAGGAAAGCATTTAATGCACTGGAAACATAAACAACAGTAAAGTGCACTTCTCCCTTTGACAATACTGGGGTTGGGGTGCTGGAATCTCATGTAGTTCAAAATCCGTGCATAACTTATGCTACAAAAAAGTAACTACAAAGCATAAACAGTTGATTCTCTCTCTCTTTCTCTTTCTCTCTCACATACACACACAGAGAGAGAGAAAGAGAAAGCGAGAACAGATGAGTTTACTTATTAACTGTATATACTGGATGCTGATTACAATACAGTACTATACTGTATTTACAATTCACATTTATAAAGGTCTTCATCTTCATTCTCTTCACATTGAGTAGGAGAGGAGAAAGTATAACTGTATGAAAATACATCATACTGTAATTTCATTCTGACTGCTTTGCCTTTTCATTTCTCTAACAATGTTTCTATACAGTAACAATCCTCCTTCTACTCTTGGCTTCAGTTTCAGTGCCCATATCATAAAAGGATCCAAGTCTTAAAAGAAGTTAAAGCATCTTGAATAGGTTATTTGTTTGTTTGTTTTTAAAAAACCTGTATTTAACCAAAACCGATATCATAAAAGGATCCAAGTCTTAAAAGAGTTAAAGCATCTGGAATAGGTTATTTGTTTGTTTTTTAAAAACCTGTATTTAACCAAAACCACACTGCTCAAAACTGTATAATTCAGGTGAGAAGTGTACTAATAACTCTCAGTTCCTACAGACAATAAAAATAGTGTCAATTCAGAAGTACCCTAACTAGCTGTCATATGCTTTTATTACACCAAGTTTATATAATCATGAGGTATCCATGGTGGTGTAGTGGACAGAGTGATGGACTAGGATACTGCAGACCAGGGTCTGAACCCCCACTCAGTCATGGAAACTCACTGGGCAAGTGGAACTGGTAATACCAAACTTTAAATATCTCATTTACCTTGAAATCCTTATTAAGGTCACTGTAAGTCAGTTCCGACTTAACAGCATACAATTAAATGTAATCATGGAAAGGCATATGTCAACAACTGTAACATCAAACTATAAAGAGCCAATATAAACTGTAAAGTGAAAATATTCTGTAATATTTTCTATTTGCTTATTTTTCAGATATCATAAACAATAGACCAAAAACATTAAATACTGAAAATACATTGCAGGTAAAATCTTTCACTTCAGAACAGTCTTCTCACTATTGCATCCTTTAGCTTCTCAGAATTTCTCACTTGATATCCGACACAATGGACAGCCTGTCACATTGTCTGCACCTGAAGACAAAAGCAGTCATGGTGGACAACTTTAACACACCTCTGTCTTGATACAGTATTATAGATTCTCAACTTATGAACACTCATTTTATGAGCAAGGATGGGGTCTATAAGGTGAGCATTGATAAATCAGGGGCCTACTGTATCAAGACAGAAATTTGTTTTATAACTCCATTGTTATCCCCTAACAATCAAACTTGGTTTTATGACCTCTATAGTTGGCCATTGGTGTAAGATATGTGACAACAGAAGCAGCTAAGGAGGATGGAGGTAAATGAATAGAAGCAAGCTAGACATCAGAGAACAGACTGGGGAAGGAACAGGACAGCTGAGGGGGATAAATGGAGCAAGCAAGACATGGAAAGATGAATGGAAGAAGAGAGGATGTGTCAGGGCAGAGTAAGAAAGCAAGACAGTATGTGGCAGACAGGAGAAGACAGAGGGGTAGTAGGGGGAATCAGAAAGAGCCAGCAAGAAGGGGACAGAAGGGAAAAGGCAAGGGGGATGTAACTGAAGCTTGAGAATTGTTTGGGAACATTATTATTTTAATGTTCAGTCTGATGGCTTGCTCATGACTGATTGCTTTGTTACTACCTCCAGTTCAGCAGTAAGCGTGAGGGTCTGCTGTAGAGAGGGGGGAAACCCAGGAATGTACATTTCCAAGACACCACAGATCTTACAGTTAGTTCCACTGCCAACATTATATTTATAGCACTGTATCTTTTCTGTTCCAGTTATACACACATGCACACATGATACACACAAAAAAGATGCCTATATCAAAATCTAAGTACTCTCAAAATAATTTTGTGTGTGAAACTATCTGCCTACCATCAGGGTGGATAAAAATAAAAAAAGTTGAAAAATTGATTAAATTTTTAAAATCATGTTTTATTTAAATCCCCCACTTTTTAAAAATTTAAACAATGATTTAAATCAAATCAAATCCACCCTGCCTATTATGGAGACTCTTCAAATAGTATCACTATACAGATTAGGTATTCCATTCAAGTTAATTTTGCCACCAAGATAATAAATGAATCATGAATAGAGTGAAAGCTATGCTGAAAGAATTTTTTAAAATTTTCTTGCCTGAGCCAGAATGTTTGTGTTGTGACCAATTTTGTTGTGAAATAATTCTATATACATTAAAGCTAACATCAGTCACTATTTTCTTCATTTCCTTTGACCTCACTGCTTATAATCCCTCACCTAAGGCCGCAATATCACCAACCTTCCAATTTAGGATGCTTGCACCTGATGAAGTGCTTAGGTCATAAAACATTCATTAGGGTTCCACAGGATTCTTTGGGGGGCAATGTGCTAATACTTTTATGTCTCTGGAAATATCTCAAATAACATCTAGCCTAACCCTCATTACCTTTTAGCATTCTGCCATGTTCATATAAGATAATTTTCCACCACTGCTAAAGCATACTGATTTGGGCGACAAAGAAATCTTGGGTGGGATGAGCTGAGCTAGTTAAAAAGTGGAGGTCCAGCATTACCTTGTTCCCACAGATTTTTAGAACTTTATTTTAAATACTCCTCTCTAAACAGTTATGGCATAATTTAAGAAACCTATTTAAAATTTTTAAAAAAATCTTAGGCAAATTAGTGTCTGAGGCGAGCCAGGACACCCACCAACCCAACTCTGTCAATGACCTCACCTCATATGAGATAAGCCTGGCTCTTTCAGAAACACAGGACCTTTCTGTTAACAGGGAGTTTTATGCTAGGAGCTTTTACCAAGTATGAGGAGCGCAGAATAAAAGTGGAGCTTGTCCACATTTGCTCGGCAGCATCCCCTAGCACTGGCAATGCGCTTCTGGGAAAGGACTGGAGACAAGTGTTTAGGGAACAGGAGTCTGTCACCAACCCTGTGCCCTTTATGGGTGGAAATAAGTGAGAAATGCAAGAATTTGTATTGCCTACTCCTTGTGAAGGAACCGGTGCTAGATCACTGTCTCTAAAGAAAAGGAAAGGGTGAAGAGAGAGATGCACAGCGGGGCGGTGGGCAGAGTGGGGGGGGGAGACAAGAGGAGGTCAGGGTGAAATTCAGGCAGCGCGAAAGGGGGCCGAACGGAAGGAAAGAAGAGGCTCGCCTGCAAAGTGCAGAGAAGGAAGGAAGGGAAGGAGAAGCGAAGGGGCGCCTCGCACGGACTTACAAGAGCCACGGGGGAAAAAAAACGAGAGAAAACGAGACCTACAGCGAAGCCGGCCTACCTTAAGCCGGCCCGCCTGTTCCTTACGGCCTGCGGCGGGCTGTGGGGCGCGGAGGGCTCTCGGTCGCTCCCCGCCTGGTCCTCATGAGGGGGATCGAATCCGGCCTCGGGCAGGAAGGGCAGCGCCGGCGGGAGGGCTCCTGCCTCCCGACTCCCCTTCCCGGCCTGCCGCTCCTGGAGGGGCGGGCGGGCGAGCGACCCTTGCGGGGCCCCGGCCTCGGAATACCTGAAGCACCTGAAGCAGAAGGGAAGGCCGGAGGGCCAGGGGCTGCGGTAAGCTGGCTCCCAGGAGGCGACGCGGCCTAGCGCTTTCCCAGGCGCCTCCCAAGCGACACGTCGCTACCATGGACGACTCCGTTTCCCCGTTTCGGCCCAGCGAAAGCGACACAACCGGTAGCAGCAGCAGCAGCAGCGAAGAAACCAGCCGCTGACAAGCTCCGCCTCTCGCCGCAGCCCTGCTTGACTGGGGAGAGGAGGAGGAAGAGGAGGAGGAGGAGGAGCTGCTGCTGCTTCTGCTTCTGCTGCTTGTGGGGGGGGGGGTCTCTCCTCCTGCAGCGACTACCGCAGCCCATGCCGCCAGAGCTCCTCCTCTAGAGTCACTGGTGCGGAGCGACCCTCCTGCCCTCGTCCCCAGTAGAAGGGGATCCAGCAGCTGGCGGGGGGGGGGGAATGTGTCACTTGGCAGAACCCACAATTAGATTTAAAACAAAACAAAACGAAACACCGCCGTCAAGGGTCGGCGTCAAGCCCAAGGAATTTCGGGACGGACCAACAATGGGGAACCTTTCTAAATTCTTTCAAAGTACATTGCAATCACGCTGATGTTAAATTGTTTTTACACCTGGGACAAAAAAAAATTAGTTACTAAGGTCTACAGCTCTCCCTGAGAGTAAAATATCCTACGTATGCAGTATCTTGTCTGAGAGGAAATAAAGGATACTTAATGCACTCATTGCACTCATTTCACACGCTAGCAAGGTTATGCTCAGAATCCTCCAAGGTAGGCTTCAGCAGTATGTGGACCGAGAACTCCCAGAAGTACAAGCTGGATTTCGAAGGGGCAGAGGAACTCGAGACCAAATTGCTAACATCTGCTGGATTATGGAGAACCAGAGAGTTCCAGAAAAACATTTACTTCTGCTTCATTGACTACGCAAAAGCCTTTGACTGTGTGGACCACAGCAAATTATGGCAAGTTCTTAACGAAATGGGAGTGTCTGACCACCTTATCTATCTCCTGAGAAATCTATATGTGGGACAGGAAGCAACACTTAGAACTGGATATCGAACAACTGATTGGTTCAAAATTGGGAAAGCAGTACAGCAGTACGGCTGTATATTGTCTCTCTGCTTATTTAACATATGCAGAATACATCGTGCAAAAGGCTGGACTGGAGGAATCCCAAGCTGGGATCAAGATTGCCGGAAGAAATATCAACAACCTCCAATATGCAGATGATACCACTTTGATGTCAGAAAGTGAGGAGGAATTAAAGAACCTCTTAATGAGGGAGAAAGAGGAGAGTGCCAAAAATGGTCTGAAGCTTAACATAAAAAAAAAAAACCTAGGATCATGGCCACTGGTCCCATCACCTCTCGGCAAACAGAAGGGGGACATATGGAGTCATATTTTACCTTCTTGGGCTCCATGATCACTGCAGATGGTGACAGCAGCAACGAAATTAAAAGACGCCTGCTTCTTGGGAGGAAAGCGGTGACAAACCTAGGCAGCATCTTAAAAAGCAGAGACATCACCTTGCCAACAAAGTTCCGCATAGTCAAAACTATGTTTGTAAGATATACAACTTGAAGTTTTTAGGCGAGGAGCTGTAAAGGTCAAAATCTGTAAACTGAATTGGGCCATACCCAGAAGCAAATTAATAACCAGTAAATCTCAAATGAGCTCTAATCTCAGCCAGCAGTAACAGAATGCAGACAGCTATTCTAAATCAGTTGATGATTGTTGCTAGACACTTGACAGAAGCAGTCCAATACAGAACACATTATGGTGTTGCTTTCCTAATTGCACAGCACAGTCCCATGCATGTTTATGCAAAAGGAAGTCAATTTGAGTTTCATTGGGTTTACTATTTTAAAAAGTGTCTATGAAATCGAAGATAATCTGTAATTTTGTGTGCATTTGCTTCGGAGCAAGTTCTATTGAGATCAGAGGGTCTTATTTCTAAATAAAAATGTTTTGGATGAGCTTCAGTCCCTTTCAGCTCTTATACAAATAATATGACGACTATGACTTTTTTTACCCTCTCTTAATTAGACTCATTCTGCTTCCTTGTCAGTTCTTCTCATAAACAATGATGATTTTCTATTTTTGCTTTTGTGAATAGCAGCAAATCTGCTACATGTACCGAACTGCCATTTGGCGCTTTTTACTGCATAAAACATTTCATTGGCCACATGTTTATACCATACATACACTAGCAACATATATATTTGATATGCAAATTCAAAAGAGTTATCATTATTGGTTTTTGTATCAGACCTTTTTTCCAGTGAGTTCAAGGCAATATATATGACTCCCTATTTTATCTTCACAATAGCCCTGTAAGGTTGAGAATTAGTAACTCAAAGTCACTCAGTAGCCAGAATCCTCTCTATGTAATGGCAGAGTGTAGTTATTTTCTAGGTGAATAATTCTACCACTCCTAAGCAATCTCCAGCTTGTGGTTACATAAGCTGAAGATAAGTCTATTGGAAAAAACAACAACACTAGGTCTTATGCTTGTGCTGGTGGGGAATAAATATTCCTTTGCATATCTAGTGTATTTTGGCAACCTTTGCACACTTAGACAAGAGAAGCAGGATTCTGGCCAGTGTGTTTCATGGAATATTGGGAACTAGGATATGGTTCTTGAAAGTTTCACCATACTGTAATCATCATTATCATCATCATAGAATTGCATAATAATACTCTTAGAATGGTGTCAACCAGCCCCTGTCAAGAAGGCACAGCAGGGAATCAAACTCCCAGTCTCTGACTCTGTAGCCAGACACCTAAACCACTGAGTCACCCAGCAGTTTTAACTTCCCAGACACTCTTATACAGTGACTCACATAATATTTCGTTGTAGTTTGTGCGCCTGTGTTCTGTGCTGTCAATTATATGGAACCAACGTATAATGACCCTAATAGGGCTTTCAAGGTAAGTGAGATATTTAAGGAGTGTTTTTACTCGCCTGTGAGTTTCCATGGCTGAGCAGGGATTTGAACCCTGGTCTCCAGAATCCTAGTCCTTCACTGTATCCACTACACCACACTTGGAATCACCAACGTGGTTTGACAACAGTGATTTCAAATATATTTTAAAAGTTGCAAGCTACACCATGATTTTAACAATGTTTTCTGAATGAGGATTCTTCAAGACAAATGGTAGGGCAGATTTTAATACATATGTATATGACTGGAAATTTAAAAAGTAAATTGAGATCTCCATATGCACACTCCTCTACTAGCTTCAGATCCAAGCCATTGCATATGCCAGTTTGTCTTGCAAGCTCATATCCACCTTTCACTAATTATAAAATATTGGCTAATGTTATGAATTGCTACTGAATGTGCTTAGGCTGCCCACGTTGCTTTTGTGTTCTCACCATCTGGCATGCCACAAACAAACTTCTTGATTAAGCAGATGGCAGCTGTGACGTACACCCCGTGTCCCTATTTGTTTCCCTCAACCCAAGGGTCCACGCTGGCGTTGTTCCTTCTCTCTCTCTCTCTCTCGCTGCCACCAGTGGAGTTCTTATCCACACTGTAAAGAACTTTAGTCTTACACTTGCTGCCAACAACAGAATTAGTTTCATTAAAGGATATGAAAGGGTAACTCAGAATCATAGATGGTCTTTATTCATTTTTATTAGAACATACTCATTGCAATATTATATTTCATGTTCCACACTACTCACTGTAGATCACTTCTTGTTTACTTCTTTTCAATTTAACCAGTTTATATTTATTAGTAACAATTCTCTCTCTATCTCTGACTATCTCCATGTATTTCCTCCTCTGAATTAGAATGCCTCTGTTATTGATGCTTTGCATCTGTCCACTGTATAGTTACATAGTGTTATAAACAGGTGCAGAATTATCAGTTAACTAAGGTTGGAGTGCAACTTACACTAGATAAGGTGAACTGGAACATTTTAGCTTTGCATCCAACTTGTTTGCTTACACATTGTATTGTAAGTAGGCACGTAAATAACTGATACTTCAGATAATCGATAGCCCAGCTTCTCTTTGGATAGCTGGCTAAACCCTTCTCATGGGAGAAGAAAAATTAATCAGTGTGACTGGAAGGATCACTCGGGTGAGAGATAAAAAAATATTGCACTAAAGATAAAAACTTAAGCGTAAACCAGACGATTCCTGTGTATCGTAATGCACTTATTCTTGCTGTTTTGCTTTTCCTTGAATTTTAAGTAGATATCATCTCAAAATTTGAAACTTCAATTAGCGAAGAGGCTGCTTGTCCATACCTTGTTCACCCCAGCGGTTAGAGAGTGTGGAGAGAGACCTGGTACTGCCTGGTACTGTAATTTTAAAATGTAAAATTTGATTTTAAAAGTGCTTGGTTTGGTTTAAAAGTTGCTTGGTTTGATTTAAAACCTGCTTGGTTTAAAAGGTGCTTGGTTTGATTTAAAAGCTGCCTGGTTTAAAAGGGGTTTGGTTTAAATTAAGGTTTAAACTTGTTCGTTCCCTCCCTCCCTCCTTTCCTGCCCTTTTTAAAACCTAAATCATCTTAGGTAAAAATAAATATTGTACAGTTAAATGCTTAATAAATAAAGTGCTATGATTTTTAAGAAAAAGTATTGAAAGCAAACTATTGATTTTTGTGCTGAATATATATTATATTCAGATCATATTTGAAAGTGATCTGAATACTGCTGGCTGTAGCGTTCACCCTTATTATGTTAAGTACAGTGGTGCCTCGCACAACGAGCGCCCCGTAAAGTGATGAATTCGCTCTACGGGGACGTTTTTTCGATCGCTAATGCAATCGCAGAGCGACGGCTCCAATGGCTTTTTTCTTACCGCTCAAACCCCACAGCCCTCCGCTTTCCGCCCCGCCGATCAGCTGTTCCACAGCTTCAAAATGGCCGCCGGAAGCCCCAAAATGGCCATGCGCAGCATTTTCGCGCCCTCGTTAAGCGAGGGGAGGGCGCGAAAATGGCTGCCGGCCATAGAGGAACATCGCTGTACGGTGACTAAATCAGCCGATTGGAACGCATTAAACTAAGTCTAATGCATTCCAATGGCTTTTTTCTTTCCGTACAGCGATGTTTCACACAGCGAGGGTTAATCCGGAACGGATTAACCTCACTGTGCGAGGCACCACTGTAGTTATGGATATTCATGTTGCGGGCTGATGTTGCCGAGAGGCGGAGCCGAGAGATATGTAATAAAGAGGCGGAGTCAGAGAGGAC